GACCTCGCCTCGGAAGGAGGCTGAGTCAACCTTGAGCCGGCATGGTAAGGAATGACATCACTTGCCATACCCACATGGTTCTTCCATTGAGGGAGAGTGGGGTGAGACTGAGCCTTCCCCACTGGTGTGATAACATGTACAGTGGTGCCCTGGTTGATGACGATAATGCATTCCAGCAAAATCGCTGTACAAGCGGGGAAAAAACCCCATTGGAATGCATTGAAAACCAGTCAATGCGTTCCAGTGGGGAAAATACCTCATTGTCCAGCGAAGATCCTCCATAAGGCAGCCATTTTCGATCCCTGTCTTGCGAAGAATTGGTCCGGAAAACAGCGGGGAGCCATTTTGTGAACCGCTGATCAGCTGTTTTTAATTGTCATCAAGCGAAAAATTGGTTCCCGAAGCAGGGACCAAATCATCATTAAACGAAAATCGGCCATTGGAATCATCGCTTTGCGATCGCTAGGCATCATAAAGCGATTTCATCATCAAGCGGGTCATCGTCAAGCGGTGCACCACTGTAGATCTATTGGAGACCTATGGGCGTGGGGATTGCAGGGGCTCTGTGAATTAGAACCCAATAAAAACATCTGGATCGGTGGACAACAGCCCACAAAATCTCAGGTCACATAAAGCCTGTTACTCTTTGTGGTGCCACAAAACTCCTTCTTGTTTTTGCTATAATGAACTAAGATGGCTACCCCCTGGCAGTTAGTCCCAACAGGTAACTTTGGCAAGCTCTGCTTGGTCGTATCACCTGGAGGAACTATCCACTGACAAAATTATAGCCACTCAACCGGTCTATACCACACAATACCTAAATATTGTTATCTTAGATACGTAAATATCTCCCTCACTCTCATTATCTGGGGTTCAAAGGCAGCTCATCATTTTCTCAACCCAGGTAGGTAGAGACTCACTGTTTCTGCTCCTGCAAGACAGTTTTGTTGACATACCTGGATGCTTTCTGTTTCCCTGTGGCACTGCTGGGTCGGCTACTGTCCTTCTTCTTCCCATGGGATTTGTCTTTTGATGCTCGGCTTTGGGACCTGCTTGTAAACAGGTTATCTGCTGTGGACGGTCCCACTGCTACCGACTCTTCTGTCCTGTGCAGTGCCACCAAGTTTCCCTTCTTTGTAGGATTCGAAGAAGTCGACCTTCCCTGCTTTGGGAAGGGAATCGAAGAAACTTTTGGCCTGCTACTTGCTGATTTGCTTTGCTTCCCAGATTTCTGTGAAGGACAGGCATGAGTCTTGCCCTCACTCTGTCCCTTTGTAGGAGCCACTTCAGTTCCACACATCTCAGGTATCGCTTGAGTTCCCTGACTGGTTGACCATGATGAAGCAGTTGCCGCAGACACAACAAACGCCTCAGAAGGACCACTAGCCACTGAGACTAGATGTGTCTCAGATGGTCCCACACCCACCGAGGTTTGGTCTACTGGGGCAGGACTCGCTGATGCTGCTCTGGCAGAAACAGGCCTGGACAATGGCTTTGGCTTCGTTGATGAGGTTTTTGAAGCTACACCTCGCCTGTCTTGTGATGGAGACTTGAGGGACTTTGGTGGAACAGGGGTTGCCTCATGAGATTTTACAGCCGCCTTTTTTCTCTTGCTCCCGTGGGACCGTGCCAGAGCGTCAGATTTTTTACTCTTCTGAAGTTTAATAGGGACATGTTTTGATTTTGGCAATGTCATGGAGATGAGGACTTCTTCGGGTTCTGTGACAGAAGGCAGCCTGACCTTCTTCAGTTGAAAGGGCTCTTTGGCACTCATCTGCCGAGCTGCTGCCGAGGGACCCACTGGCAGAGACCTCACCTGTGGGTGAGGAAACCCTGTGCCTTCTGGCCTGGTGGCAGATTCCAAGCTCCTCATGCCCATCGACTGGGGAGAAGTTTGTTTAGACTGTCTCTTCACCTCAGGTCTATAGAAGCTAGGAGATCCAGCTTGGGAGGCTACTAGCGTCTTCGGTTGACTCCTCTTTCTAACTTCAGGGTCTGTATACAGAGACGGTCCTTTGGAAGCATGCCCCTGTAAAGGAATACAGGATCATGGCATGGATTGGAAAGGACTCTGCGGAAAAGGTGAAGGGTTAATACAACGATGCATCACTGCTTGCAAAGAATGCTTGATCCTCTCACATCCTAGCAAACCAAGACACATTTTTAGATGGATACAAGAGGATAAAGTGCTAAGATAAGGGGTTGTCATAGCCCTGGCGATGGGTTTCCAGTCCTTATTGGAAGATCCCAGCATATGACTTCCTGCAGGCACGGGAAAACAACGTCTGCCCTCTTGTGTGATACAGAGCACAAGTGTTCGTATTTCTTGGGATAAAACTAAAAGTCAGCTCCTCTTTCTCCCCTAAACATCCCTGCCACGGGTTCTTGTCAGAGATCTAATGGGATCTATTGAGCTGATGAAAGAAAATACTGGAGTTTTCGTTCTTACCTCACTGCCTGAGATGTCAAAGGATGACCGAGAAGAAAATGCTGCTGAACCTTATGAAATAGAAAAAGAAAAAGCTCTTATCAAATAATTTGTTTATTAATCTTTCAGAGTGGGATATTTATTTATTTAACTTATATGCCGACCACTCTACCCAAAGGTCTCTGGGCGGCTTACAACAAATAGAATACAATAAAAAAGATAAAACAATGAAAATACAATTAAAATATATACTCTAAAAATTGCCATCAGGACACACAGTTGATATTATTTCAATTAAAAGCCTTCTGGAATAGGAAGGTTTTGACCTGGCGCCAAAAGGTCATCAGCGCCAGCGCCAAACAAATCGCAATTGGGATGGCGTTCCATAGTCTGGGGGCAGCTGCTGAAAAGGCCCTTTGTCGACAAGCCATCCCTCTTACCTCCTTGAGGGATGGCTCTTTCAAAAGGGCCCCCTGGCTAGATTTTAACTGCCCTGAGGAACTCCATGACACAAATGCCATGGGACAGAGCAACTGCCCCCCAGCACCACCCTCTGGACAGCTAGGAAGGGGTGGAACCACTATAAAGCGGCGCCCCCAACTCTCAACCCAACCAGCCTATCCAAAAGGATACCATGGTTGAGGATGTCGAAAGCCGCTGAGAGGTCCAGGAGTATCACTACTTGTGTCTCTCTCCCAAAAAAGGTCATCTTACAGGGCGACCAAGGCAGTTGTGTCTGTCTCTCAAAAAAGGTCATCGTACAGGGCGACCAAGGCAGTCTCCATACCAAACCCTGGTCTGAAACCCGATTGAAATGGATCCAGAAAATCCGTTTCATCCAGCAGCGCCTGGAGTTGCCCGGCCACAACCTGCTCCAACACTTTGCCCAAATAAGGGAGGTTCACCACTGGTCAGTAGTTAGCCACCAGCCTTGGGTCCAGATTAGGCTTTTTAAGGAGTGGTCGAATTACCGCCTCTTTCAAGGCGGTAGGGACCACTCCCTCTCTCATAGAGGCGTTCACGGCCTCCTGAACTCAAGTGCGAACACCCCTGGCAGATCTTCCAATTAGCCAAGATGGGCAAGGGTCGAGCGGAGTGGTGGTAGAACGGACAGATCCAAGCACCCTGCCCACATCCTCGGGTCTCAACAATTGAAACTCATCCATTAATGTTTGACCTAAGCACAGCACACTGGACACATCTTCCGATTTTGCAGTAACAGTGGAGTCCAACCCACTGTGAATCTCAGCGATTCCCCCACCCCTCAAAATGAATGGCAAACTCATCACAGTGAGTTGATGAGCAGTCTGGGACTGCCACCAGATTTCCCAGTTGAAGAAGTTCCCAGACCACCTGAAACAGCTATGCTGGACGACATTCTGAGGAAGCAATACGGCTGGAGAAATATTGCCGTTCCGCCAGCCGTATTGCCATGACATAGGCCCGATAATGAGCTCCAAGTCATGTTCGATCGGACTCCCAGCGGGACTTCCTCCACCTGCGCTCCAGCCGTCTCCCCTCTTGCTTCATCGCCTGCCATTCAGAGTATACTAAGGAGCTGTCTGGGCTCTGCGTGCAGGGAGAGGGCACTTAGACGCAATTGTGTCAACCGCCCGGGTCATCTCTCTATTCCATAGGGTGATCTGAGCTTCGACAGGCGCGCCAACCATATCAGACGGATATTCCCCCAGAGCATTCAGGAAACTATCTGGATCCATTAGTCTCCGAGGCGGATCATCTTCATAGATCCCCCACCCTTGCAGAGGGGAGAAGAAGCTAATAGACTAAACTTGACCAGGAAGTTTGTGAGGTTTAACCTCCATGTGCTCATTTACTGTTTCCCAAGCTTACCTGATTTTAGGATGCCTTGCTTTGAAGTGATCTGACTTTCCCTGGAATAGAAAAATATATGTGAAATCTTCACATCCCCAAAGAACCACCGTGTAAACAGTTATCTCTTATTATTTGGGCAAAATATACCTCAAAGTATATCTCAGCATCTATAGTGTGTGTAGCAGCTGCATGCCTAGTGCTTCGTGTCTTGATACTGTACCCTATTTCCCCTAAAATAAGACCTAACCTGAAAATAAGCCCTAGTATGATTTTTCAGGGTGCTCTTAATATAAGCCCTACCCCCAAAATAAGCCCCAGTGAAGGTACACCCTGCCCGCCCCCCTTGTGCAGCAACCAGAAGAAGAGGACAGGACTGTATTTGAATAAACGTAGATTGGTGTACATGAAAATAAAATAAAACATTCCCTGAAAATAAGCCCTAATGTGTTTTTTGGAGCAAAAATTAATATAAGACCCTGTCTTATTTTTGGGGAACACAGTATGCACATCTCTTGTGTACCAGATAAAAGATTCATGCACACCAACAAAACTCCAAAAGTTTCTTTCTAGACTCTGCAATAGAGTAGCTGAACTCTAAAGAATGGCAAGTCAGCAGCACATTTGTTGTGTACCAGATAAAAGATTCATGCACACCAACAAAACTCCCAAAGTTAAATTATTTAGCAGGGACAAAAACTAAGAAAGTTGTAATAATTCATGGTAAATCTAATTGAAAGACAGCACTTGGAGTTTACCCAGCAAGCATTTCTGAGTTGCTGAGCTAGCAAGGCCCTGAGCTGTTGCTAGGCAACCACCAAGCGCTACCTCTTCTTCCCTCTTCCCTCCCTCTTTAATTGCCAATTTTGCTGGATAGTTGCAGACTCTTGGCACAAAAAGAATGGGGATTTTATTCCAACTGAACACATAAAATTCAGTGGAAATGCATGACATGTTTAGGGTGAAGATAAGTGTATAATGAAGAATGGCAGGTAGCAGTTGAGAACCTGAATAGCGCTGCGTTGATAAGACTAATATTTCATGATCTATTCTGGTCTTTAGTTGTTGTTGTAATATTTGTACTTATATAATAAACAAAAACGTTGCTAATTATTTTAAATACTACTGGCCCTGTTCACTATGTATTAAAACTGAAGGTTAGCGATACTTTCTTTCCTCCTTCCCTTCTCATTTGCCCAGTGCCATTTAGTTGCTATGGTGTTTGTACAATTGATATCACAAATATAAATTGATTGATGTTTGATTGATTGATTGATTTCCAGGGTAAGGGGAAATAAATTGGGATAACAGGGAATATATCATGCTCATTGAATGATTTCCAGGGTAAGGGGAAATAAATCGGGAATATATCGTGCTACTCCTTATCACATATTATCTGTACTTACACACTCCTTATCACATATTATCTGTACTTGCACATATCATTACATTAAGAACTTTTATAACTTTTGCTTATAACTGTTAGTTGCAACTAGAATTATTTGACTGTTTTGTATTAAAGTTATCATATCTGGCTTTCAGGTTATAGAACGGATCCAATTATATATAGGGTCCCATTTTTCATCAGTTGCTTCTTAGATTGAATGTGTGTGATTTTTAGAGACGAGACAATGTGGAGAGGAGGCTATGAGAGAGTCATCCAATTTTCTCCCGTCTGTGATTTTTAAAGACGAGACAAGGTGGGGAGGGGGCTATGAGAGAGTCATCCAATTTTCTCCCACACAAAACTAAAGTAGCTGCACAAGAAAGGGCAAGTTCGGACTGAAACTTCAGTAGCGCTGAAAAAGGGCTGTAAACCTTTCCCTGTACCATATACTTGCTAGAAACATCAGGGAAGTAACAATGCACTTGAGATAAGTTAGGGCATCATATACCACATTCCTAGAAATTGAGCAGTACATACGCAGAGCTTTGTGTCTCTGTGGAGGAATGAAGTTGGCACAGCTGCTCCTTCAGGTGTCCAGTGGAGCCTTCCTCCATGATGGCAGGAAGCCAGTGCTGTTGGACGAACACAACATAGATCAGGCAGACACCTCAAGTTAATGGGTGAAGTGTCTGGGGCCAGGCTGTTTAGACCAACCCCTACAGTTCTAGTGATCGTACTGAATTTTTATCTGAGTATATTGCAATGCATGCCCATAGTTTAATTGGTGAGCACATGCAAGAATGGTTCCAAGCTGTAAGAATGTAAAGCATACTGCAGAAGGCTATCTCTGCCACAGCACCTCACCTGTAAAATACCCTCCCCTTGGATGCTTGATTGGTGCCAAAATTGCCATCATTTTGGCACCATCAACCTTTGGGAGGGTGAGGATTGTGATCAGGATGGGTGGCCGAGGGGCCTAACGCCAAAGGAGGCCCGGAGAGAAAGAACAAGAAACCTGGCTTTCTCGGCAGTGGCCCCTCGCCTCTGGAACAGTCTGCCCCCAGAGATCTTTCTGGCTCTCTCGCTGGGTGTTTTTAAGTGCCAACTTAAGACCTGGCCCTTTAGGCAGGCCTTCCCTCCTGTCATCACCTAATCTATGCTTTCCTGTCTTGAATTATAAATACCGTTATTTCTGTATTTGCGAAGGCTTTCACGGCTGGGACCTAATTGTTGTTGTGGGTTTTTCGGGCTCTTTGGCTGTGTTCTGAAGGTTGTTCTTCCTGACATTTCACTATTCTCTGTGGCTGGCATCTTCAGAGTGCTGTCCTGATGATGATCATTGTTAGGAAGAACCTTCAGAACATGGCCAAACAGCCGGAAAAACCCACAACAACCACTGTTATTTTTATTTTAAATTGCTTTTACTTTTATGTATTGTCGTTAGCTGACCAGAGTAGACCTTGGTTTAGATGGGCAGGGTATAAATTGAACAAATGCATGCATGCATGCATACATACATACATCTCCCTCTTTTTGTATATAGCAGTAAAATCAATGTACAGTGGTGCCTCGCTTAACGAGTGCCTCGCTCAACGATGAATTTGCATAACGATGGCCTTTGCTAGAAATTTTGCCGCCTCACCTAACGATGTTTCCTATGGGGATTTTCGCATAACGATGTTTGGGACCTTGCTTCACTTAACGATGACAGTTTTAGGTCCCCTGTTTTGCTTAACGTTTTTTTTTACAGCCCTGTTTTCGCTATTTTAAAAATATTCTAAAATGTTTTAAAATGTTTAAAATGCTTGGAATCATTAGTGCACCTAATAAAACCTCCGTTGAAGTAATTTGGCTTCATTCTGAGTCTTTTTGAATTTTTGGTGATTTTTTTTCACCATTGAAATGTATTGAATAGGCTCCTATTGGAACGGATTAACCGGTTTTCAATGCATTCCTATGGGAAATGGTGTTTCGCTTAACGATGTTTTCACATAACGATGTTTTTAATGGAACCAATTAACATCGTTATGCGAGGCACCACTGTACTTAGTTGGTACATAACAATGGAAGGTCCAAAACAGCCCCCATGAGTTTAAGGCAGTGATTCTTGGTGTTCTTGGACAGCAGTTCCCAGAACCCTTCACTATCAACTGTGTTGGCCAGGATTTCTGGGTATGGCAGACCAAGCACACCTGGATTATCCAAGGTTCGGAACCACTGATTTAAGGAAAGAGCAGAGATATATTTATTTAGGTTTTTTCTTTTAAAATGATGGGGAAACCACGGTCCTCCAGGCAGTGTACAAACCAAAGACATAAAATGCAGGGTAGACCAATGAAAACAAAGCAGGTCGATCAATAAAAGATTAGGAGAGGACAGAGAGTGAGGGAGAGGTCCGTAAGGTTAAGCGCATTGGATGCATAAATGTTCATAGGAGTGGTACATGAAGATAGGAAGGGACAGATGACCACAGTCTGTGATATTTGTACCAGAATGTGTGGGTTTATGTGCAGAAGGACGAAGAAGGGAGGGTGTTTGTGTGTTAAGCACTGAAGTAATTACTGAGGTAATTTAATCCTTTCAGTGAGGTAATTCTTTCAGTCTCACAGTGCTCACCTTCTTGGACAAACCCAATGAGCTTTTCTGCAGCACATGATGCCTAGATTCCTTTGGGGTGATGCTTGCTGGCTGTCTGATTCTGCCCCTGGCTATGTATATCAGGTAGATGAGTCGCAGCCACTGGTCGAAGAGAAATGTCGCATCTCTGCCAGGGGCATAAAGCTGCAGGTAGTACTTTTGCCCCGTCCTTATCTGCACTTTCAGCATCCGCTCCTTCAGGCTGTGAAGACGTAGCTCCACCATCTCTAAAGGAACCAACCTGTGGGAACGAAAGGACTCAGGCTGAGAAACTTGCAGATGAAAATAGGGGGCTTCCAGGAAAAAGAGTGTGACAGGTCACAGAGAAGGGGGGGGGGCTGCATCAGTCTCACCGAGTGATTTCAAGATCCTTAGCCTTCGGGCGTTTTGCTCCTCTCCTCTGTTTTTCCCGGGCAATGATCATCAGGTTAGGAAGCGGCAGAGTCGGACTGGTGGCTAAAACACCCATGGTCACGATGTGAGGATGGTTATGAATGCTGATGCATTCACCTTTTCTGGTCACCTGTATGTAAAGGGAGAGCAAAAAAGCAGGATGTGTGCCATGAAAGGGACAAAACTGACATTAACAGAAAGGAGCCTAGGGATAGTCCAAAGAAGGAACGTTTCTCATCTCAAAGTCCCTCAGCCTCCACCTGGGATACCTGGGTGTCCTGGCTGCTGTTGTCAAGTCCCCTCTAACCTATGGCGCCCCTAAAAGGAAATGATCTCAAAAATGGCCTGTCCTCAACAGTCCTGCTCTGCTCCTGCAGACTCAAGCCTGTGGACTAGCTGTTGAATCATAATTCCTGACTTATGGCAATGCTAACACGATTCTCAAGGTGTGTAAAATCCTCCATTCTACCAGTTCCATCCCCTTCTTTCCATGGCTGAGTGGGGATTTGAACCTCGGTTTTCTGAGTCCTAGTCCATCACTCTGCCCCCTATATCACACTGTCTCTCTGCAACTGGTTTTTTTTTTAAATTCCCATCAAGATGACTCTAAAAATGCCTTTAAATGGTGTAAGGGACATCTTATGAAATTAGCTAGAAAACATCACTCATTGCACCGAGAAAAGAACTTGTTAGGGTTAGATTATTTTTGCTTAGACTACTTTTACTGTAACCGTTAATTACAATGGTTGTTCTCCCAAAAGTAAGGTACTCCTATTAACGACCTGCTTCTAAAATCGGATTCGACATATGAATACATGAAGCTGTCTTCTACTGGCTGGTATGCCGTTGGTTCATTAAGCCACTACTATTTCCTAGGGCTGGTAGCCACTTGCTAGTTCAGCCCCTTCCAGCCAGCTGATCCTTTTGACTGGAGATGCTGGGTCCTGAACCCGAGATCTGCTGAACGAGGTACACTCTTCTACATTGCACGCAGTACATTTTCAGTGCAATAGTTTGGGTCTCTCGCTTCTCTACAATAACATTCACAGGCGATCACAAGCAAAATCAATGGCCTAAACTGGGCTATCTGCATCAGCCTCAGGCACCCAGGACACATCCAACATGACTTGCCCATCTCCACGATTTAATCTGGCCAGAACGTTGCACGAGTTGTTTGGGGGGTATGGGTTCAGACAGGGAACACTACAGCCACCTCTTCCCTGCTATAGAGCCACCTGCTACATGATACAAGTTACCTGCACAAAGTTGCCTTCAAAGATTGGTGCATTGTCTAACATATTGTATTCGGCCCTTTGAAGCACCCTCCGCAGTTTTCCAGGCAACGGAGCATCGCCACCAGAGGGCCTGTTCTTCGAGAGGGTCATTCTGTGGCTCCTTCCTCTGTGCTTTCCCTAGAAATAAACCAAGAAGATACGTAAGGAAAGTGCTCGGGGAACTCGAGCTCACGGCCTTTGTATTGAATCTTCAAGTCTAACATATTGTATTCGGCCCTTTGAAGCACCCTCCGCAGTTTTCCAGGCAACGGAGCATCGCCACCAGAGGGCCTGTTCTTCGAGAGGGTCATTCTGTGGCTCCTTCCTCTGTGCTTTCCCTAGAAATAAACCAAGAAGATACGTAAGGAAAGTGCTCGGGGAACTCGAGCTCACGGCCTTTGTATTGAATCTTCAAGGCTAACAGGTTGCGTAAGGAAAGTGCTCGGGGAACTCCGACGGCCAAGCTCACGGCCTTTGTATTGAATCTTCAAGGCTAACAGGTTTCTTGGAGGACCGAATCATCCTCCCTCTTCAAGCTTCTTGTCTCCTTGTGTTGGAGGATTGATCACCACATTTACTGCCTCTTCTTGGGTGTGGGCAACTCAAGCAAGTAAGCCAAGCGCTGTGCTCCAGTGAAAGGTTTTGCTGTATCCCCCTGGTCCTCTCAGACATAGAAGCCAGTGGGATATGACAGCAAAAAATTTCCAGGCCTCAGAACACCAGCCATGGATCAGCTCCTAAGTGCAAGCGAAATCTATCAACCAAATCTTCGTCCCTTTGAAATTGGGGCCCATTGCTATACCGTGAAACCCAAACTCCTCCCAAGTTCTCTGGCACTTAATGTGTTAGCTTCCTCTCCCCACTCCTCAACTCCAGAGTCTGAACATTTTAGGCCCTACCTGGAGATGTGATCGTCAGAAGGACAGAGTGGAGCTTGTGGAGAAAGTCTTGTTGATTATCCTGCAGATGCGTTTGTACGGCCACCAAACACCAGTTTCTAATCCTGGACAGGGCTGGGGGCACCAGTACTTTGAAGTCCCCAGATGCTTTCCCCTGGGAGTCCTCTGTACAAGTGGCCAACCACCTCCCCAGCTGAAATTATGAATATTGGCCTGCAAATGGGAAGATTATGACATCAGCAGAAAAAAAAACAGGGGCTGGGCTGTTGGGGCATTGTTAGGCAGCGGTAGCAGCAGAAATGAAAGGAAATCTCAGGAATGATGTACATCCATTACTGGGAGTAGCTTGCCTCAGGTCAAGGGTGCAAAGTTAAGATTTGGCCACTATAAATTATAAGGAAAAGGTTGCCAAGATTCCGGTGCTGAAAGCCCATTCACGACTACCCATGGATTCCTGCTTTGGGTATGAGAGGTTCCAACTAAATCTTACACCAGCCCACCATTTCGATCCACTGTACCACCCTGAAGTTTTGGCTTGGAAGCTAAGCAGGGTCTCACCTGGTTAGAACTTGGAATAATAGCTGCCAAGCGGCGCTAGGATGCCCAGATAGAACTCGGAGACAGTCCTGTTTGAAGCCCCTTGGCAAGACTGGGTTAGATGGGCCAGTGAGCTGATTCGAGGCAGCTTCCCACATTCCCATCTGGAAATTCATTCTATCCCTTTAACAGGTAGGGATGATTGTGGCTGTTCAGTGGGGAAACCTAAGAGACTCCCTATATGCCCAGAGACACACTTGATTCAGGCGTTCCAAGTGAATTCCAGGTGATAGCCCTAGCATTCAAGAGGTGGCAAATACCACCTCTATGCTAATAACAATAACAATAATAATAACAATA